CAGTCAATCCTAAAGGAAATCAGCCCTGAATATTCATTGGAAGGACTGATTAAGCTAAAGCTGAAGCTCCAATACTTTGGCCACCTGATGCAAAGAACTGACTCATTGGAAAAGACCCTGATGCTGGGAAAGATTGAAGAGAGGAGTGGGTACAACAGAGAATGAGATGGGTGGATGGCATCACTGACTCAATGGACATAAGTCTGAACAAGCTTTGGGAGCTAGTGAAGGAAGGGTAACCTGGAGTGCTGCATCCATAGAGTCGCAGAGTTGGACACAACTGAGCAACTGAACTGAACTGAAACACATTTTGGAAATCTGCATAGAATGTTCATCAGGTTGGTTTATTTTTATTTTAGCAAGGTCTGCCAAGTATTACTCATTATTTCAAATATGTGAAACAACATGATGTCCCAAAACACAAAGACCTGGTCTTATGTTATATTAAATTAAGATCTCAACCATTTAGTATAAAATAACATACTTCTTAGGGATTTCTGTTAACAAGGCAAAATTGTTTATAGGAAGAAAAGGATTACATGACTAAGATGTGTCTTTGGTGCAATCGAATCCACCCTTATGTCCTTCTACCAGTAATATCTTGTCTGCTGTAATCCCTTCAAGATTCCAGTTCAGTACTACAGAGACTTTCCAGGTTTTGTGCATCTTAAAAAGATGCTCAGCTTGAGAGTTGAGTTTTATTTAGGGCAAAATGAGGACTGCAGCTCAGGAGGCAGCATCTCAGATAGCTCTGAGAGACTACTCCAAAGCAGCAGTGGGGGAAGGTCAATCTATAAGGTTATGGTGAAGGGTGAGTTCAATACCATTAAACACTCATTTTACAAAGTGTTTTTCAGTCATGAGGATATGATGTCACCCTGAAGGGATTTACTGCTTCTCTAGTTATGGGGAGATGAAAGGATTGAGATCATAAAATCTGTTCCTAAAAACATCCAACTATCTAAAGATCCCTCCCATCAGATTCCCTGGAGCACAGAGGCCTCATTCCACCCTGAACTCTCTCAGGGGTTGTTGAAGGTCAATGGCTATAGCAGCCGGAGGTTTAATCTCTATACAGGCAGATGGCAAATGCCTTTGTTGTTCAGTCATTGGCAATGCTCTTGGTAAGTGCCAATTCGTAGCTGACATTTTCATCACAGATTTTTCTTTTGACATTATCTTCAGAATGCTTTACACAATTAGTTTTACAACTATTATCTCAAATATATGTTTAAATATTGTATAGCCCATATTCAATAAGGCCATGGCTTTAACATTTTTTGGATCACAGACCATTTACAATTTTAATAAGAACTCTCTAGAAAAATTAAAAGTTACACATCCGGAGTTCTGAAGCAGTGTAGGACTTTCAAGGCCCCACTGTCATCTGTTTAGGATAAAAACCTTGTCAAAAAAGCATGAAATCAAACCATAGGCTTGGCTCTCAAAAGTTTTAACTTTTTCTTTTGGTAGCTGAGCAGTTTGCAGGATCTTGGTCCCCGACCACAGATTGTGCCCAGGGCCTCAGTAGGGAAAGCGTGGAGACCTAACTACTGGACCATTAGGGAATTCTCTCAAAGGTTAAATATTTTTTAAAATAGAAAAATGTTTTAAGTATTAAACAAATTTTTATGATTAATGAGGTAAAATTAAAATACTTACAAAGGAGGAAGTTTTTAGTTTTAGTCTTATAAGAACTTTTTAAACTTATCTTTGATTCAAACCTGTTGCAACCAATGTGCAAACGGATGTGTATATAGTATGTATTTATATACATATATATGTATTTATATCCAAGTGAAAGAGGAGAGTGACAAAGTTGGCTTAAAGCTCAACATTCAGAAAACTCACGGTATCCGGTCCCATCACTTCATGGCAAATAGATGGAGAATCAGTGGAAACAGTGGCTGACTTTATTTTTCTGGGCTCCAGAATCACTGCAGATGGTGATTGCAGCCATGAAATTAAAAGACACTTACTCCTTGGGAGGAAAGTTATGACCAACTTAGACAGCTTATTAAAAAGCAGAGACATCACTTTGTCAACAAAGGTCTGTCTAGTCAATGCTATGGTTTTTCCAGTGGTCATGAATAGATGTGAGAGTTGGACTATAAAGAAAGCTGAGCGCCGAAGAATTGATGCTTTTGAACTGTGGTGTTGGATAAGACTCTTCAGAGTCCCTCAGAGAGCAAGGAGATCCAACTGGTCCATCCTAAAGGAGACCAGTCCTGGCTGTTCATTGGAAGGACTGATGTTGAAGCTGAAACTCCAATACTTTGGCCACGTGATATGAAGAGCTGACTCATCTGAAAAGACCCTGATGCTGGGAAAGATTGAGGGCAGGAGGAGAAGGAGACGACAGAGGATGAGATGGTCGGATGGCATCATCGACCCAATGGACATGGGTCTGAGTCAACTCCAGGAGTTGGTGGTGGACAGGGAGGCCTGGCATGCTGCAGTTCATGGGGTTGCAAAGAGTTGGACACGACTGAGCGACTGAACTGATACTGATATTCAATATTAGCCAGTAAATATATAATTCATTGGAAGGATTAATGCTGAAGCTGAAACTCCAATACTTTGGCCACCTGATGTGAAGAACTGACTCACTAGAAAAGACCCTTATGCTGGGAAAAACTGAAGGTGGGACGAGAAGGGGATGACAGAGGATAAGATGGTTGGATGGCAACACCTATTCAAGACGTGAATTTGAGTAAGCTCCGGGAGTTGGTGATGGACAGGGAAGACTAGAGTGCTGCAGTCCACAGGGTCGCAAAGAGTCAGACACAACTGAGTGACTGAACTGAACTGAAATATATAATTCATTAACTGGAGGAGTTAATGTTCATACTTGAGGATAGAATTTATCAGGATCTATTAATCTATTAGTATGTATCTATTAATATCTATTAATATAAGGAAAAACACTTATACACAAAAATAGGCAGTATTTTCTAGTAGATTTACAACAAACAGATCCTCACATTCAGGTCGATCATTTATAAGATGCCATCAGTGATCAGTGTATAAACATTGATATTAACAAGTCATTTCTGACATATATTACAAGCATGTATCCAAATACCCAAATGACTATAACTCAAAGCATGAGTTCATTTACTGAGCAAAAGCAAAGAATGGCTTTCACCCTATAGCTAAGGCTTAAATCACCTTATAGCTAAGGCTTAAAATACACTTTAAAACTTCAAGTCCTAACGATCTGTAAACTTAAAGTACGTTTATGTATAATTTGTAACAATATGGGGAAAAAATAAAGGTAATTATGGTGATGTGTCTTAATCCAAAAGTTAAAAATCAAAATACATTTCACATGAGGACTAAGTGAGTTTTCTTTATTCAAGTAAATATTTTGATTATAATACATGACAATGGACAACCCATGAGATAAAGTACTGTAGTCTATCGTTTGGTGTGTTTCTATGATGATTTTTCAGGTGATTCTTCAGGATCTGACATCAATGCCCAACAAAGGCTTTCCAATGGCAAGGCATGAGTTCTAGAAGCCAATGCCTCTACGTTTCTTCAGAAGCTTCAGATGCCATTTTCTCTTCCAATACTTACAAAAATCCTACCCTAAAACTCAATCTATGTCATTAAATCAACAAAATCAAACATTAGATGCATTTTCCCACAAAGAGAATAGTTATTAAATAAGAGTCAACTTCCTAGCTCCTTTTCTCAAACTTTTGAAAGATTTATGTACTCTCTAAAGAGAGTTAAAGTACCATACAACACAAAACACACATAGAACCTTATCACCAGGTACACATAATATGCTGGAAATTGCTAAAGTACTCAAAACCTTAATTTTCCTGGGAAAGCAATTCTCCATTGGAAACTACAGTTTACAAACAGAAGGTTGTGCTTTAATAAGTGGAAAAATAGTACCTGATTTGGTATAAAGCAATTGTGAGATCTTTTCTCATTAAAGAAGTGCTTAATTAAGAAAGCTTTTCCAATACATAACCTGTCAAACGCACAAAATGTCTTTGTCTCTCTCTTCAAAACATTAGTTTCTAAAACTACAGTATTATTAATTTAAATTTTACTTAATCAGTAAGTTTTACTTTTTTTTCCCCTATCAATAACAAAAACAAACTACTTGAGGAAAAATATCTAATTTTTATTTTCAACACTTTGCCACGAACATACATACAACATTAAATTCGATGCCCTTGTGAGCTGTCCATGTGCCATGAAGTATTTATGACAAAAAACACGTATGCTTTAGGATAAGAGTTAAAAAGGAATCAAGATAGCTTCCAAAAAGGGGGAGGAGAAGGGGAATCAATAAATTAGAAGTCATAGCTTTCATTTTATAAAAAATAGTTTGAATAATCTTCTTATAAATCTTTAATGTTTACAAAAGCAGGAAATACATTTAAAATAGTCTTTAACACAGATTCATTAGCACAATGTGGTTATGGTCAGAAAATAACAACTAAAATGGTATTTCAGTAGTTTACATTCTCATCTCAGCAAATTCCATATAAAATTTAACCAATTTGCAATTCAAAATAAGATTTAACTGACAACAAGGCCAGACTAGTTGTGGATAGTACATGAATAACAAGCTATGTTCCATTTATTATATTTTACCAAATATTTTAACATAGCTCAATGATAGGTACTGATAACAATACTTGACTGCATGGTCATCACCCATGACTACTGCACTGCAGCTGAAAACATGCTTTGGTCAGTAAATTAAAAAGAAATATAAATCAAATAACAAGACCAGAAAAGTTGTTTTAGTACCAATTCTCTGAACTTAAGTAAACTTTAAATATATTGACAAGGTAAGGAAACAGTATATTTAAATATACAGAGAGGTTTCTATATTTTTAACCATTTGGCATTTTATATTAATAATTTCCTGTTTAAAATAATATTTTATACTCCTGTACACTGATTATCATAACTCTCTGAGTTAAAACTAAATTAGAGTTACCTTCCTAGAATGTCCAGTAGTGAATGCATTACTTGTTTCTTTTGCATTTCCATGAAGATGGTCCTTCATCTTGTAATTTTTTAAGTTTTGGACCAAGAAAGAACCACCAACCAAATCCAATCAAAACACAAATAACAGATTCCACATAATAACCATCCAGTGCAGTAACACACGAGCCACCGAGTTTTTTGCAAAGCTGTAAAAACAAAATTATAATAAATACTCCACAATTTCAAAATGGAAGTATTCAGCACTTTATATGTTTCTTCTTTGTGATTTAAAGGATTAATCAAAACATTTTTGTGCTCAAATATTTCATTCAAGTGACAAAACAAGTTAATGTATCTCTTTTTAAATGTTAGATATATTTTTTATTACTACCCCCCAAAAAGAGGGGAACAGGGAACTGTTATAGAATTAAAGAGATGTAATAGGCAAAATAATAAAACACAGTAAAGGGAGCTTATATGGACTCTAATTTAAACAAAACAACTATAAAAAGAAAAAAGGTACACACTCAAGAAGTATTTAAGGATACAGGGTCATGCTCATGTCACAATGTTAAGTAAAATTTTGTTGTTGTTGTTCAGTCACTAAGTCATATCCAACTCCTGCGACCCACGGATTGTAGCCTGCCAGGCCCCTCTGTCCATGGGATTTCCCAGGCAAGAATGTTGGAGCAGGTTGCCATTTCCTTTTCCAAAGTTAACATATCTTAATCTATCTAATGCTACTAACAGTATTAGAAACAATTTTCAGCTCTTGCTGTAAACAATATTCATTTTCAAGATACAGCTTTTCATATTTGGAAGTGTGCAGAGATTTCCAATGAGTTTACTCTAGAAGTGGGTTAACGTTACTTTGAAATAATTTACCAACAAACTACTAACCACTCAGTTTTAGCTCCATTTGTAACATGAACAGCCAATGGAATTTCCCTTCTTCTATCATAAAACTTAGCTATTAATCATGTACTAATATCACATTCCTATTGTACAGGACAACGGTACACAAGGGAGCGGAGATGTTCCTTCCTTGCTAAGAAGCAACTCCAAGTGAGCTCCTTTCACTGATTTGAGTGTGTTATACCCTCAGTTATGATGGGTAAGAAACAAACTATTAGAGACTCTGGGCAGATATGATTTTAAAAAGATGAAGTACCTCTAGAGGCAAAATGAGGAAATTAGTATCTTAATATTCACTCACTATTACCTAAAAGTGCAACATACTTACCTCAACAGCATCAGGTGTTCGGCAATTCTGGTTTGATGCTCCTACACACTCTTTTACTGTGAGGGGATCTACCAGCCAAAGAGCCACCGTAGAAGGCCAGTTTCCTCCCAGGTTGGACACGGTATTTAAAAGGGTCATATATGTTCCGCCAATAAGTGGATCACTAACCTTCGCATTGAAAGCCATTATGGAAACATACATGCTGTACAATGTAACCTACAAGGGAAACATAAAATATCTTCAGGACAGCTAAACTTTAGAAAGACATGGTCTAAATTAAGAACATTAAAAGCATAAATCTGAAAATTAATTTTCATGACTCTTATTAAACTCAAATCAACAAATACTTATGGAGCACCTGTTACAGGCCAGGCTTTAAGTCTGGTCATGGTAATACAAAGATGAATAAGATACAGTCCCTCTATGCCCTTGAAGAATTTATTCTAAGCTGGGAAAACAGGGAATAAATAAATACAATTAAATGCAGTAAATACTGTAAAAAGAGGAAATGCATACATCATGCTATCAGGGCCTAAATAAATAGGAGATTAATTTTATCACATGTATTCAAGGAAGGCTCAATTGAGAATGACAAGTGAGGTGGCACTGAAGGATGCATACAGTAATAAGCAAAACTTCTTATACTATACCTAAATATAGCATATGTGTGTATATATGTATTATACATGTAAGCACTCAAATATTCAAAGGTAATATGAATATATAATTATATGTATACAACTTACTTATATATAATTAAAAATTTACATGATAAACTGAAGAGGAAGATCTCCTTGAGAGGCAAAAAGTGCTTAAGCAGCAAGAACTAACCCTCCAGTCAGGAACATGAAAACACCGGTTCGATCCCTGGGCAGGGAACTAAGATCCCACATGCCGAGGAGCAACTACGTCCGTGTGCCACTGCTACTGAGCTTGCACACTCTGCAGCCCATGCCACAGCTAGAGAAGATCCCAAGTGCGACAACCAAGATCCAAGACAGCCAAATAAATATACGTACGTGTGTGTGTGTGTGTGTGTGTGTGTGTATTTAAATCCACACGGTTTAAAGTTCATGAATTTCTTCAGTATCCGATTCAGGCATAAATCTTAAAATTTATTATCATTATTTTAGGCAACTGTAGAAAAACATCTTTATTTTACACAGGACAGTTTACTTCCTGGGTAAAACCGCAGCAAGCTTACCTGATGTAACGCATAACTCAGCAGCACTACAATATAGTAATATATAGGGAATCCCCCTTGATGTTCTACTTTAGCAGTCCACCAGACCAGTAGAGCATATTCTAATCCAAACAATAATCTACAGAAAAAGAAAGAAAGGTGGAGTTGACATCTATTTTAGGTTAAAAAAGAATAACAGAAACAGAAATCTGTGTGCCTACCATACGAAAGAAGCCTGAATCTAAAACCTGTTAGGAAGTTTAAAAGAGATTAAAGTGCATATACATGATACAGAAGTTAAAGATGTTTTTCAAGCCTTTTTCCATATACACTCTACACACAGACACTAGTGACACTGACGGCTGTTCCTCATTTAGCCTCTCTTATTTAGCAAGGTTTCGTTTCAGTTTTACCTGTAGGGCATGGCTTTGTAAAACACGTTCAGTGGCTGGGGGCCTGCAGTGTATCTGCTGATAAGCAGAGGCAGTGCTATCTGCAAAGGAACCATGGGGACCGCCAACAAGGCTAAGTGCTCTTTGGGCACTCCCTCTTCCACTAGTTTCAGGCCTGTTACTGCGTCTGCTGCTGAAAAACCAATCTGCAACATAAAAACAAAAAAATATTTTAATTTATGACCTATGAAATATTTCCCTCCAAGTATACGTAAGTAATTTAGAAACCTCAGTCTTATTAATGACTCATGCAAGTATGTATCATATTACTATATCTGGTACAACAATCAAGTTATGGAGGCATACTTAGCTCTATGGTCTACTTACAAATATGAAGTAAAAACAAGTGAAAATTCAGCACTCTTATGAACTGTAATTTTAATTACAATTAAATTTCCATTTCAAAAAGTTCTGTCTTACAATAAACAGTGTTCAAGTCCAAACTTATTGCTCTGTATATTTTAAGTTTAAAAGAAAAGCTTCTGACTTCAAATAAATCTGGTTAAAATGAAGTATCACTGCCACATACAGTACATATTTTTGATGATTTCTGACTGACAACAAAAAGTCATCTAGCTTTTGAAAAGTAGTTCTGAGAAAACATATCTAAGAGGCTGATTTAAATGATGGGTAAAAAAGGCATACTTAGATTAATTCTTAGAAACAACAGCAAGAGAAGAGTAAGAATGCTAAGATACTGCAGTGGGTGAAAGTCTGAGGTCAAACAAGATGTTTACCTGGTCTCAAAAGTACTTCCCCATAAATGAACTTTTAACTACAAAAGGAAAAACAGTAATTTTGCAATGTATTAAACAAGGTAATCAAGGTTAACACAATAATTAATGGTTAAAGGAACATGATATGGCTCCTGATAAAATTCCCTGAAGATTCACAGTATTATTTCTGTGATATTTCTGACATATATTCACAGAATGGACCTAAACATGAAGAAACATTAGCCAAACATAAACGGAAGGCCATTCCATACAATAACCGGCCTGTCTTCTTTAAAAGTGCCTAGGCCACTACACACCACTATATAGATAGATAACCAACAATGTACAGCACAGGAAACTCTACTCAATTCTGACAACCTATATGAAAAAAGAATCTAAAATAGAATGAATGGATCATCCCCATGGAAAAGAAATGCAAAAAGGCAAAATGGTTGTCTGAGGAGGCTTTACAAATAGCTGTGAAAAGAAGAGAAGCGAAGAGCAAAGGAGAAAAGGAAAGATATTTCCATTTGAATGCAAAGTTCCAAAGAATAGCAAGGAGAGATAAGAAAGCCTTCCTCAGCAATCAATGCAAAGAAATAGAGGAAAACAATAGAATGGGAAACACTAGAGATCTCTTCAAGAAAATTAGAGATACCAAGGGAACATTCTATGGAAAGATGGGTTCGACAAAGGACACAAATGGTATGGACCTAACAGAAGCAGAAGATATTAAGAAGAGGTGGCAAGAATACACAGAGGAACTGTACAAAAAAGATCTTCAAGACCCAGATAATCACGATAGTGTGATCACTTACCTAGAACCAGACTGTTATGCCCGATGTCCGAATCCCTGAGCACGAATCCCTGAGCACGAAGAGAGAAGGCCTCCAAGACAATGCAACTCGCAAAAAGGGAAGTTTATTGCTGACTCGAGTCAGGGCTCCTGCCGCATCCAATGGAGCCCTGACTCGAGTCAGCAGTAAACTTCCCTTTTTGCAAGTTGCATTGTCTTGGAGGCCTTCTCTCTTCCCGCTCGGGGATTCAGACATCGGGCATAACACAGACATCCTGGAATGTGAAGTCAAGTGGGCCTTAGGAAGCATCACTACGAACAAAGCTAGTGGAGGTGATGGAATTCCAGTTGAGCTATTTCAAATCCTGAAAGATGATGCTGTGAAGGTGCTGCACTCAATATGCCAGCAAATTTGGAAAACTCAGCAGTGGCCATAGGACTGGAAAAGGTCAATTTTCATCCCAATCCCAAAGAAAGGCAATGCCAAAGAATGCTCAAACTACCGCACAATTGCACTCATCTCACATGCTAGTAAAGTAATGCTCAAAATTCTCCAAGCTAGACTTCAGCAATACATGAACTGTGAACTTCCAGATGTCCAAGCTGGTTTTAGAAAAGGCAGAGGAACCAAAGATCAAATTGCCAACATCTGCTGGATCACTGAAAAACCAAGAAAGTTCCAGAAAAACATCTATTTCTGCTTTATTGACTATGCCAAAGCCTTTGACTGTGTGGATCACAATAAACTGTGAAAAATTCTGAAAGAGATGGGAATACCAGACCACCTGACTTGCTTCTTGAGAAACCTATGTGCAGGTCAGGAAGCAACAGTTAGAACTGGACATGGAACAGACTGGTTCCAAATAGGAAAAGGAGTACGTCAAGGCTGTATCTTGTCACCCTGCTTGTTTAACTTATATACAGAGTACATCATGAGAAATGCTGGGCTGGAAGGAGCACAAACTGGAATCAAGATTGCTGGGAGAAACATCAATAACTTCAGATATGCAGATGACACCACCGTTATGGCAGAAAGTGAAGAGGAACTAAAAAGCCTCTTGATGAAAGTGAAAGAGGAGAGTGAAAAAGTTGGCTTAAAGCTCAACATTCAAAAAACTAAGATCATGGGATCTGGTCCCATCACTTAATGGCAAATAGATGGAGAAACAGTGTCAGACTTATTTTTTGGGGCTCCAAAATCACTGCAGATGGTGATTGCAGCCATGAAATTAAAAGACGCTTACTCCTTGGAAGGAAAGTTATGACCAACCTAGATAGCATATTAAAAAGCAGAGACATTACTTTGCCAACAAAGGTCTGTGTAGTCAAGGCTATGGTTTTTCCAGTGGTCATGTATAGATGTGAGAGTTGGATGGTGAAGAAAGCTGAGCGCCGAAGAATTGATGCTTTTGAAGTGTGGTGTTGGAGAAGACTCTTGAGAGTCCCTTGGACTGCAAGGAGATCCAACCAGTCCATCCTAAAGGAGATCAGTCCTGGGTGTTCATTGGAAGGACTGATGCTGAAGCTGAAACTCCAGTACTTTAGCCACATCATGCAAAGAGTTGATTCACTGGAAAAAACCCTGATGCTGGGAGGGATTGGGGGCAGGAGGAGAAGGGGATGACAGAGAATGAAATGGTTGGATGGCATCACTGACTCGATGGATATGAGTTTGCATAAACTCCGGGAGTTGGTGATGGACAGGGAGGCCTGGCGTGCTGCGATTCATGGGGTTGCAAAGAGTCGGACACGATGAGTGACTGAACTGAACTGAACTGCTTAACTGATTTACTTTGCTGTATACCTGAAACTAATAAAACTTTGTAAATCAATTATGCTCTAATAAAATAAAAAAATAAAATATTTTTTAAAAGGTCCAGGTCAGACTTCTCTGGTGGTCCAGTGATAAAGAATCCCCCTGCCAATGCAGCAGACACCGGTTCAATCCCTGGTCTGGGAAGATTCCACACGCAACAGAGCAACTAAGCCCCACAACTACTGAGCCTGCACTCTTCAGTACCGAAGCCCAGCAGCCTAGAGCCCAGGCGCTTCAATAAGAGAAGCCACCACAGTAAGAAGCCTGTGTACTCCACCTAGAACACAGCCCTCACTCCGTGCAATTAGGGGAAGCCCATGCAGCTTAAAAGACCCAGCACAGCCAATTACAAACAAATAATCTTAAAAAACAAAAAAAAGTGTGTCCAGCAGGTCATGAAGAACAAAGAAAGGCTCATACCAACTAAATGCAGTATGTGATCCTAAACTGGATTGCTGGCCAGGAAAAAAATTAAGTTATAAAGGCCGCTCTGGGGGATAACTGGTGAAATCTGGATATGGACTGTGACTAGAAAATGGTATTGTGTTGGACTTCCTTGGTGGCAGAGTGGCTAAGAATCCACCTGCCCATGCATGGGACACGGGTTCAATCCCTGGTCCGGGAAGATCCCACATGCTGCGGAGCAACTACAGCCCATGCACTACATCTACGCAGCCTGTGCTTTAGAGCTCGTGAGCCAAGAGCACGGAGCTGGGGTGCTGCAACTACTGGAGCCCATGCTCCACAACAAGAGAGCCAACCGCAGTGAGCAGCCCGTGCACTGCAGCGAGGAGCAGCCCCCACTCACTGCAGCTAGAGAAAGCCTGCATATGCAGCAATAAAGACTTAGTAAAGCAAAAAACAAATAAGTAACTTTTCAAAAGGAAAATGGTATTGCATCAATTTAAACTTCCAGATTTTTCATCAAGTTCTGGCTTTGCAAGATGAAGTCCATTACTCTTAGGAGCTACACTACATACTTCAGGCATTTATGGATAAAAGGGCATGATATGTATAAATTACTATCAAATACTTCATAAGAAATATGTAAAATAACACAACTTACAGAATAAAAAAGTAGAGCTAAATATTAACAGTTAATTATAGAATTTACATAAACATATGGGTATTCCTTCAGTTATACAAGTGAATTTTCAGTAAGTGAAAATATACTAATAAAAAAATTTGTATGCTAAATATTATTCAAATACTTTAACTTCTCAGAATGAAGCCAAACAGCAAATTTCACACAAAAAAATTAAAAGTCAAAGATATTTCATACTTTCTCTTCATAACTTAAAAGTGTAGGAGATATCTGTAACACACATATCTAACAAAACCCCTCATATCCAGGATATATAAAAAATACAAATTCTACAAATTTAAAGAAAGGGGGAACTCTGGATATTCAAATGGCCAATAACTATATGAGAAGATGCTCAATTTCTTTAGTCATCAGGGAAATGAGAAATTATAATCATAATGAGATGCTATGACATACCCACCAGAAAGGCTAAAATTAAAAAGACAATATTATGGTTTCAAGGTTGTGTAATGACTGAAATTGTCACAGTGCTTGTGGGAGGGAAAACTGGAACAATCACTTTAGAAAACTGTTTATAGTAAACACTATGCATTTCTTATGGCCCAGCAATTCTACTCCTAGGTATTTATCCAGCAGAAATGTTTACCTACATTCACCAAAAGTACTGTACACAAAAGTTCACAGAAGCACTATTTATAATGGTCCAAAAGTAGAAATAACCTAAACATCTGCTGATAGAATGGGATAAATAAATCGTGGTATATTCCTACAAAGGAATATTATAAGCCAACGAGATGAACAAACTATTGCTATAAATAACAATATGGATAAATTATACAAATATGATGTTGAGTAAAATAGTGCAAGAGCCAGACATAAGAAAACATACTGGATACTCCACTTATATAAAACCGGAAAGTAGGGAAAACTAATCTATGATGTTAAAAGTTAGGAGAGATGTTACTTTTAATGAGGTTTACTTTAAAGGGGGAACACGGAATTCTAGACTCTGTATTTGAAGCAACTCCTTATATATTGCTGGTGACAGTATAAATTATAAAATCCCTTAAAAAGCAATTTAACAATCATATTCACTGAATCTATTGGAAGGAAAGAACCTAAGAATCTACTGGAAGGAAATATTCAGAACACCAAAGAATTACACACAAATATATTCACTAGTACATTTTTATAATTAAAACACATGGCAAATTAAATATACAACAATAAAAAATGAGTAAATTGTAGCACATTTATATACTGTAACAATTTAGTTATTACAAAGTATGTTATCAAATATTAATGATACAGGAATATGGGATAAGATGATAACAAGATAAAAATTACATACAATTTCACTTTTAAAGTATTTGTGTGTGTATATAAGTATATTAACTATAGCAAATGTATTAATTATATTTATATATGTAAAGTGTGTTTATACACATGTGAATGCACATACATACATACATAGGGCAAAGTGGAAATATACCAAAAATATTACCAATGGTTATGTCTAAATGATGTAATTAGATAATACCATTATCATAGTATTAACTTTCTTGAACCTTTTAGCATTTTCTAAAGTTGAACCTTAAGTTTAAACCTTCCTAAAATTTCCTAAAAACTCAACCTTCCCTATCACTAGAGAGGGAAAACTCACTATTTCAAAACAATGAGACAATTTTTACTTTAGTGTTATCAAAATATAGCTATAAAAGTGTTTATGTAAAAAAAAAGTGTTTATGTAGACAGGTTTAAATATACAGTCCAAAATTCCTGTAACCAATTTTATATTTTAGGAATACTAATTCCAACAGTTCATTTTAACAAAGAATACTTACCTTTCTTCTAGCATAATCTCTTTAAAATGCTTTCAAACTATAAAAAATTAAGACATCTTAAAAGAAAAAAACATATAGAATTGTCACTAAAACCTCTATTTGTTTGATGGTATATTTCCTTTTAACATTTTGAAACAGTTCAACTGATTTTTAAATAGACTTCTAATATTCATTTTCATATCTTTGTAAATTACATTCTAAGTAAGTAATTTCAATACCTTTGACATTAAGTATATACTCATTCTAATAGCAGAGTGCTGTTAGTTTTTCATGGCAATCATTTCCCTTCCAAGCATTAATGTCATTCATTAAAAACACTCACATTGACTAGAAGTACTTCAAATTGGCGTAATTTTTTCAAGATCCTAAGACATTTAGCTTAGTTTGCAATTATGTTTGATTTGATATCATCACATCTTTTTAAATCCATTTAGTAAATAAAGTATATTAGCTGTTATTGTTAAATTCTAGTATTAGTGGAAAGGGACTTATGAAAAGGCAACAGAAGTATTCCACGATACTGGTACTTGTAACAGAATGGGGGATTTGCTTTATAAATCTCTTACCTTTGCTGTTAGAATCAGAAGACAAAATGTCAGAACTGCGGGCATTTTTACAATTGCAAAAAGCAGCTTGTAAGTATCTGTGATCCCTTGAGTTTCTTCTTTTCCTACTGATACTTCTTTGTTTTCTTTTTTCAGAAGGGCAACTAAAGTTGTTGTTATCAAAAATACAGTTCCCCAGAAGAAAAGGAAATCTGAAATTTAAAATGTTTTATATCTATAATTAACATGTAAAATAACATATCTTCACTGATACTAAATAATTCTGTACACAACTTTTTCTCAACTAAAATCTGTTAAAAAAAAAAAAAAATTCAACGCACAGGGCTTGTCATTGGCATCAGACCAGGCACAGCAGATACAAGACATTACACGGACCCAGAATAGACAGCGATACTCAACAAGGAAAAACGAAAGGGTTTACCGGTTTGAATGAAATAAAAGTTCATTGTGTCATTTTATTTAAGGGCAGATGATTTTCATATCCCGTAAGATCTATCAGTCATACTTCTGAAGCACCTAAAAATCATTTCAGTTCTTTATTAAATTGTGACAACTTAGACAACAAACAGATGATCATTTACATTAAATGTTCTGCCTTTTGTTTTTAAACTTTTTTTTAATCTGTTTAAGAATAATATTCTGTTTCAATACTGTGAAACATAAACATAATACACACTTTTGGTTGTTTCAGTGGAAGAGAGCTGAGCCACTGGCCAATAATTTAAACAAGCAGAGAGAGTGAATAATGTTCTAGAAGATTCTGCATAACAGCTAAAAATACTACTAATAAATGAGGCACTATTTCTTGAGTGCATACCATGTGCTATAAATGTGCTAAGCATTTTACACAGATCATTCCCTTTACTACAACAACACAATAAATGAAGTTATCACCAGTCCCAATTTTCAGATGATGAAACAGGCTGAGAGAAGGCTGAAATACTGCCTGAAGTTACATTTGAAGTCAGTGCCCCATACAACCCATTTTAAAACCGCATCTCCCTAACTACCCTGAGAATGCATCTGATTTTATCTCTATGAAACTTAATGTATAACTCTCTCTCAGTTCCTTCATTTGTAAAGTAGGAAGACTTGCCTAGAAAATCCCAGGTGTTTTCTAGCTCTAACATTCTGGAATTGTATTCAACTTTACATGTGCTTGCTTTTTAGTTTATTGTTAATGCAACACAATCAAACTAACTGCTCATGAAGTCTAGCCATCTTTTCCCAAAAAAGTAGACCTTCCTCAAGTCAAGCTTCTCCTCTTTCAGTCTTCCCTGCTGTGCAAGGTGAAGGTTAACTACCATGGTTTAAACCTCGCTTACGATGAAGGCAGGCAGCATCACTTACTTAGATCAACTTAAAGCACGGCATAGACCAAATTCACCTTAGTATTTATATAATCCTTTCTTATATGTTTGTTTTTTAAAAAATAATATACTTATTTACTTATTTGACTGCACCAGGTCTTAGTTGCTGCATGTGGACCTAATTCCCTGATCAGGGATCGAACCTGGGCCCCCTGCATTGGGAACATGGAGTCTTAGCCACAGGACCATCAGGTGAGCCCCCATTTCATTTGATTTTTGTAGTCAACATGTGAGACAAGCAAAGCAGGCATTACTGCTATGAGAGACAAGGAAAAGCTCAGAATATTTAATCTTTGCCATAGGTCCAATTAAGAGGCAGAACCTAAATCTTTTTATTTGGGTTCCATTATTTCATACTGCTTATATAAAGTTTTTTTTTTTTTTTTTTAATACTGTTGAATGAAGAATCTACTAGGAGTTTCTGGTGGTCCAGTGGTTAAGAATCTGCCTACCAATGCAGGGAACATGGGTTTGATCCCTGGTCTGGGATGCTTCCGCATACAGTGGGGCAACTAAGCCTGTGTATCACAACTGCTGAAGCGACGTGCCCTAGAGTCTGTGCTCTGCAACCAGAGAAGCCACGGCAATGAGAAGCCCAGGTAACACAATACAGAGCAGCCTCTGCTCACTGCAACCAGACACACGGCAACAAAGTCCCAGCACAGCCAAAATTAAATAAATAAACTTTAAAAAATAAAAAAGAATCTACTGCTGCTGCTGCTAAGTCGCTTCAGTCGTGTCCGATTCTGTGCGACCCCACAGGCGGCAGCCCACCAGGCTCCTCCATCCCTGGATTCTCCAGTCAAGAACACTGGCGTGGGTTGCCATTTCTTCTCCATTAGTCTCCAGAAGCATAACCAAAAATGAGGCTCTGCTATTCAAATTATGCAAATAATAAAGCTAAGTCTTCTCAAACCTACACGGAAATTTGTATTCTGAGGTGAATTCTTCTCTCCATAACAGGAATTTACACAGACGGACCCCAACTTATGAGGGTCTCCCTTGAGATTTTTCAATTTTCTGATAGTGTGAAAGCAACATGCATTCAGTAGAAACTGCACTTCAAATTTTGATCTTTTCCCAGGCTAGCAATATTCATTACGAGCCTCTGCTGTGAAGTTGGGCAGCATCCGCAAGTTACGGCTCTCAGTCAGCTACACAATCACAATGGTAAATGCACAACCATTCTGTACCCAGACTACCACTGTGCTTTTCACTTTCAGTCCAGTTTCAATAATTACATGATATTCAACACCTTACTATAAGACAGGCTTTGTGTTAGATGATTTTGCCTCACTGTGGGCTAATATAAGTGTTCTAAGCATGTTTAAGGTAGGCAAGACTAAGTTAAATGCATTTTTGACTTAAAAATTTTCAACTTATACTGGGCTTACTAGACATAACCCCATCAAAAGTTGAGAAGGAGCTATCATTAATTTTAGACATCAGAAGAAAAACAGGAAAAACTGAGATTCCTAAACGCAAAGGTATTCACTTTAAAATGCATTAATAAATACACATCTTATGATTAAATTTCATTAAAATAATATCATAATTTCTAGTTTGTATTAACAGTCTTGAAATCTAGTTCAAAAACAATGAACAACAATTTAAGATTATTCTTATAATTGAGACTAATGTTCATTATTTTTGCATTCCTAATTTCATCACCTATGGAATGTCATCTATAATATTTATTCTCATAGGTAAAGTTCTTGTTCATTATTTGATTTAAATTAGCTATTCAATAAACCCTGAAAAAAACTTTCACTGTCACCAGAAATTTCAATTAATGGGCTTTATAAAAATGTTAACTGAAAATTTAAAGTTTTAAATGATATACTACTTTCAGCAAAAATTTTCTTCGTATTTTTTGTTTGGTATATTCTTCCAGTTTTAATGAACAAAATCTTCATCTAATTTTAAACTCTTTGATCCCAGTGCAGAGAGAGAAGAAAAAAAATTAATAATCACAAGTTAAACAGGTTTCAGTACTGTTTGCAGATAAGATTATGCAACAATTCACCAGTATTCAAAAAGGAGGTAACAGCCAACTCCTGAGTGTCCACTGTGCCAAGGCCAAACACAGGACAGTGCAATAAACCTCAAAACCACTCTCTAAGACAAGCATTACTATTCCCACCTTATACTCGGTGAAAGAGAATCACAAACCAGAAATTACCAGAGGGGGGATTCAAACTCAGAGCTGATTCTGAAACAAAATGTATCCCATTATACTACCCAGATGCTCAGATACACCTACTGCAAGTAAGCGCTCTTCCAATCAAACAGATAGGCTTGAGGAAAAAGGTACTTATTTTAGCTCCAGTTATGAAGGCTGGAGCATACAGATACTTGAGCAGACCTCTTTTAAATTGGTTAGCTGTATTCACCCCTATCAACCTGTATCTCCCCATATGGGTGGCATATTATAAGGTACGTAGACCAAACATGGTACATCTTCCTGAACAGCTCATTTACTCAGTAACTTAGAAATATTTTCATGAAAAATGGATATTAAAGTAATGGCAAAATCTCTAAGAATTTTTAAGATAAAACATTAGATTTCCAAAAAATTTCAACCTTTGAGGCTTTGGACCAGGCCTCCAGAACCTTTGTGGTGTAGGTTCATTCTCTTCCACCATCAGAAAAGGTAGAAAAATTAAGCACAGTCTGATAACAACCATCCTTGGATCCGAACAGCTTCTCTCTAACTCTCACACTATGGGAATCAACTTGAGTCCTTCAGAAGTCAGTGGCAGGAAAAGAAACTTTCAGTTTCTGTTTTACATTAGCATCAGGCCTTCCTTTTATCTTGCTTTCAGCACAGCTTTCCCTGCTCACAAGTCAGAATATGAAGGGACTTTAGACAGCTATCATCAGTCCACTGCTTTCACTTTCACCATGAAGAAACTGAAATAGAAACACTATGTATCTGGCCCTGGGTCACCAGCTAAGTCTCAACAAGAAACAGAACTTTCTTCTATGTCACAAACCACTCCCTTAAGCACTTGCTCAAAACATCTATGCCGAAGAGCACTCCCAGAAAATGCTGTTTTGGTTATACAGTATAATGTATCTTATTTGAGGATTAGGATTTTTTAAAGACAGCATGCAATGGAAAATTTGACTAAACACAAAGCTAATTTTGAAATCTTCACAATCCTTTAGTTTTCCTAAGCCCTTAGAGAGGTGCCATGTTTGAGATCACATACTTTTTCATTAACTCCAACAATGTTAGGCTCTCCTCTGGGGCAGAAGAAATGGTTTCTTCAATCAAGCACCAGATTAAGCAGCTGTCTGGTTATCAAGAGCCCTATTGTCCCAAAACATTAAACTCAGCCCAGGATGCAAAACTGAAGCTGAGACCAATAGATGCAATGCTTCCATCTCATGCTAACTCTGGAGCATGTATCACTGAATAGAAGGAAATGAACCACTCTTTCCAGGTTTTTAGGACTTCCCTTGTGGCTCAGCTGGTAAAGAATCTGCCTGTAGTGCGGGAGACCTGGGTTCAATCCCTGGGTTGGGAAGATCCCCTGGAGAAGGGAAAGGCTACCCACTCCAGTATTCTGGCCTGGAGAATTCCATGGACTGTATAGTCCAGGGGGTCACAAAGAGTTGGACACAACTGAGCAACTTTCACTTTTACTTTTCCATGTTTTAAAATATGTTCAGGTCAAGCACAAAATCCGTATTAATTAAACATACATATATATCTCTACTCTGATGCTATGATAGTAGGTTCTTGCATTCAGTTTTTGTACAACCTATATCCTGACACCCCAAAATCACTTTTTTTAAGACGAAAGCTGAATTCT